GACATATTGCAACATCTTTTTCCATTCTTCTAGAACGACCTCTCTCAGAGCCTTGAGAATTCCCCATAGGTGTTCGATTGGGTTCAGATCAGAAGACATACTTGGCCACTGAATCCCTTTCACCCTGTTCTTCTTCAGAAATGCAACAGTGGCCTTAGATGTGTGTTTTGGATCATTGTCACGTTGGAAAAGTGCACAGCGACCAAGGGCACTGAGCAATGGTAGCAACTTCTCTTTTAATATACAGTGAAACATGGTGGTGGCAGTGTCCTTCTGTGGGGCTGCATGGGTGCTGCTGGTGTCGGGGAGCTGCCAGATCCCAGATAGCAAGGATAACTTGCCACAAACTTGTGGCAGGGTTAAATTGTAATTCTTGTTAACTTGCCGCACACATTCCTGGCAAGTTGTAGACTTGCAGCACAAGTTCTAGTTGACACTTTTTGAATTTGTATCAAATTTGCTTGGCAAGTCTACAGCAACAGTCCTGCAGGTCTTAGCAAGAGCTCTGCAAGCTTGCTGGTCTGGAGACTTGCAATGCAGACTTGCTGTAATTGTGCAACAAAATTGTGAAGCTTGGCAAGTCTGCAATAGTTTAGCAAGTCATTTTCAAACTTGCAGATCAATTGCTTGCTATCTGGGATGTTGTAAATTCATGATACCATCAATTAAATGCAGCTCTCTGACAACAGCAGCACTCATGCAGCCCCACAGAAGGACACTGCCACCAACATGTATTTTTCTTTGTACTCCTCACCTTTGCGACACCATACAGATTTGAACCCATCAGTTCCAAAAACATTGATCTTGGTCTCATCACTCCAGAGTTCAGAGTCCCAGTAGTCGTCTTCTTTTTCAGCATGGGCTTCAGGAGAGGTTTCCTTTGTGGATGACACCCATGCATGCCATTCCTCTGCAGTGTACGGCGTATTGTGTCACAGGAAACAATCACTCCAGTTTGGCTTTCTACTTCTTCAGCTAACTGCAGTGAACTTGCATGGCGATTTTCTTCAACCCTTCTCATCAGAAGACGCTCCTGTGGAGGTGTTAACTTCCGTGGACGGCCTGGACATCTGTGAGATGATTGCAGTTCCATCTTTCTTACATTTTTGTATCACTTTTGCTACAGTATTCTGACTGATAAGTAAAGCTTTGCTGATCTTCTTGTAGCCTCCACCTTTTTTTGTGTACATAAATTATTTTCTTTCTCAGGCCTTGTAACATTTCTCTTCCATGTGGTGCCATTGCTGACAGCATGAAATGGGAAGGGGTTTTCTTTGTTAAGTAACACCCTTTTATAATCTCCTGTCTGCTGGACACCTGGTTAATGAATAATTATACTCACCTGTAGTTGAATTCTTGCTAATTAGAATTTTGTTGTCTAAAATTTAACTTTGCTCCTACCACTTTCATTGGGGTGTATTTATTTTTGCAACATGGTCTTGAATAAATGTGTTAGGAAAAATACTTTTTTGTGTATGAAAATTAACAAATCTTGGTAGGCAATCAATGGCCCACATTTGTGTGAGTATTTTGTAGTATAGTGTCCCATAGAAAATGTTAATTCTGAAAGAAAAGTAAAGGTTTTCTGACAAATGTGTTGGGGTGTACTCATTTATGCTGAGCACTGTATAGATATATATAGCATCTGTTGAGAGACGGATTGCAAATCAATCTGGTGTGAATGGGCCCTAAATCTGCTAAATACATTCCAGGTGCATTAAAACAAACTATGCAAAGTCTAAAGGTGCCCATACACCTTACGATTATCGTACGATAATCGTATGCGATCGACTTTTCGTACGACAATCGTAACGTGTGAATAGAGTGCCCGACCGATAGTACTGTACAATCGTACGACTTTTGACGGTCAAGCATGTTTGAAAACTTTGGTTGATCGTACGATGTTCGCATGGTTGGTGGCGTTTCCGTCCGTCAAATGTCGTACGATTAACACTGCGCATGCGCAAACGAAAATAATTGCGGTCAATTACCGCAAGTCGTCCAGGTGTTTTTTTCTAACTACCGCTGATTGAACCTTGCGATAATCGGGGCAGGATGGGGCCGTCGTACGAAAATCGTACGACGGTTCGATCATCGGATGAAAAGTTTTGTCCGATAATCGGAAGGTGTATGGGTACCTTAAAGCTGGCCATACACCTTACAATTATCTGCAGATTTTCTGCGGTCAGATGGAAAAGGTGCAACAGATTCCTCCATCTACACTTAAGGAGAACTATGAGGTGAGTGCTTTTAACTCACCTCATAGTTCTAGCCGACCTGTGACAATGAGACTGTCACAGGTCGGCTCAGTAGATCGGGAGGTGAGCAAACACATACCGGCATTCGCTCACCTCTCGATCCTGTCACGGCTCTCTACCGTGACAGGGGAGGGGCTGGATTCCCCCTCCCCGATCCGCCAGCGCTGACTGGGGGAGGGGGCGGGTACAGCTGGCTCTGCCTCTAGATAGGCAGAGCCAGCTGCCAGTCACGCAGCTGGGCGGATCCCGGCATAATTGTCAGGATCCGCTTCAGCTGCGGCATCTCAATATACTGCGGCTTCTCAGTGTAGCTCGCGGTATACTGAGCCTATGGTGACGGGAGGACGCTAGTTTGTGTCCTCCCGTTACCCTAAGGAGAACTATGGGGAAAAGCCTTAACCCCATAGTTCTCCTTTAACTGTGTGGATGGAGTAATCTCCACCTGGGTCAATCTGTTGCACTTTTTCCATCTAACCACAGAAAATCTGCAGATAATTATAAGGTGTATGGGCACATTCATGCCCTATCTAAACTCGCAAATGGGGCCAAATCACATCAGTTTCATGTGAACATCTGCGGGCTGGAAGTGCTGTGCTACACAATGACAGCTGACAATGGACGCAATCAATCAGGCTTACCTGCGGACGATTTTCCCTGGATGCAAACAGTCTGCGTCCAGGGGGCTAAGGTCTGCAGGTAATCGCAGATTGTGCAATTATGTGTGAAGACCTGCGAATGGCTGCTGGCTGATGTCTTTGTATTTTACATCACCTGCCGCCCACAACTGTTCAAGTAAGGGTAGCCTTCACGTTAATTCTATATATGGTAATTAAGGGTCAGACTTCAACTGCCTTTTGTTTCAACATTTTTATTTCCTCGTTCTCTAGTTCCCCCTAAACTGCTAGACCTCCTTATGTGTGTGGGTGTCTCCATCAGCTAGCCGGCTGCAGAGTAGACAGCTTTGCGTGTGCATTCCCCCCTGCCTTCAGAATATAGAAAGAAACTTGTTGCACTCCTTACCGAATGCCCCAATGACAGGGGAGGGTGCTTGTAGTGACAGCGGATGGCACCGCTGGTTACAGGAATCAATTGAAGAAATGTCACCAGCACACCAAAAATCCTTTCAGGATAACCATGAGTTCATTTAATAAGAACCACGTTAATTAAAAACAAGCGCTTTCGGGGCTATGCAGGGTCCCTTCATGAGGCTTAACATGGCACAAATTTTATCTGAGGGCAGCACAGTGGCGTAGTGGTTAGCGCTTCTGCCTTGCAGCACTGGGGGTCCTGGGTTCAAATCCCGACTGGGGTTACTATCTGCAAGGAGTTTGCATGTTCTCCATGTGCTTGCGTGGGTTTCCTCTGGTTACTCCAGTTACCTACCACACTCCAAAGACAGGCTGGTAGGTTAATTGGCTCCTCTCTAAGTTAGTCATCTATGTATGCATGTAGAGATAGGGACCTTAGATTGTAAGCTCCTTGAGGGTAGGGACTGATGTGAATGTGCAACTATGTAAAGCGCTGCGTAAATTGTTGGCGCTATATAAATACCTGTTATAAATAATAAAATATAAGCACTTAAATGTTTGCTTTTCCATGACGAATATCTGCTTCTTTGCTATATCATGAGATGCCTGTTCTTATTGTAGGACTATTTGGATGTTTATCCCTCAATCTTTTGACACATGTTTTCTAATCGACTGGTCCGGCCTGTGAGGTCATGGGGGTGTTTGGGGGCGTGCTTATGAGTCTCTCCACCTTTGTATGCCTATATAAGCTCACATTTTTGTGTACATCTTTGTCAAATGTTAAGCATGATGAAGGGACCCTGCATGGCCCCGAAAGCACTTGTTTTTACTTGACATTGTTCTTATTAAATGAACTCATGGTTATCCTGAAAGGATTTTTGGTGTGCTGGTGACATTTCTTCAATTGATTCTCCCCTGCCTTCAAGCCCCTCCCCAAGGACCAGGAAGTTCAGGGAAACCCGGGTATCTTCCTGGCCCTGGCGCTGGAGACGAGTGACCACAGGTAAGCGTGTCCGGGTTTGGTATTATAGAAAAGGTACTGGGTGTTTTTTTACCTCAATGCAGAGAATGGCCAAAATAAAAATGCCTAGCGTTCAGTACCACTTTCAGGAGTCTGGAGGAGCAATTCACAATTGATAATTGTATTTTTCTTTAGAAAGCAGCCACAGTCCAAGTAGAAAAGTCTGTCCCCTACCAGCATTCTGCACAGATAGACCCTTCCCTTCTGTGGGAAAGCAGCGGCCTCTCTGCAGAGAATACAGATTCAAGACAAGAGCGATCCAGTCAACAACAAAAAACAAAAAGTATGCAGCTGCATTGTTTTTAGCTGATTGAAAGTGAAAGTTCAGTTGGGCTTGAACATTCATATTACCTTTAGAAACTGAGAAAATCCGTTATATTGTAACATGAGATGTAAACTGCTGTGTGTAAGTTTTGAATGGAGTTCAAGTTGGCCTGTCAAAAAAAAAAAAAAGGAGATGGGTGGAGGGGAGTGCTGGTGCTGACCATGGTCTAGCACTGTGGTAGGCAACCACGGCCTTTTAGCTTTGTGGAACTACAAGTCCCATGAGGCACTGCAAGACTGGCCAACACAGGCATGATGGGATCTGTAGTTAAAGCACAGCTGGAGGGCCCTGGTCTAGCAGGTGTCAGTATAAGAGCTCCTCCCTGGTCAGACTGCACAGCTGTCATGTGATGACTAGTGTGGACTCACCGGGGCAGCAGTGCCAGCTTCTGCTCCAGCATTATCTCCAGCTTCTGGGCTTGCTTGGAGAGCGGGTGGTCAGCGCCGTGCAGCTGGTAGCAGCCCTCCAGCATGCTCCTGAAGTCAGCCACGAATTGGTCTATGGCGCGGTACTGGCCTGCGGAGAACTTCTCCTCCATCCTGAGGAGAGACATGGTGCCCTGGGTGTCCGCAGCCAGCCCCTCCGCTTGGCCAGCCGGCTGCCCAGTTGACGTAGGAGTCCCGGGGGCGGGCTCGATGTCGCCCTCCTCACACGCGGAGCTGCTGCGAACCTCTTCAGCAGCCGCTGTGCCGGGCGTCTGCCCCACCGCCATCCCTCCTGCATTCTCTAAAGGTGACACCGCCGAACCTGGCACCTCCGCCATACCGGAACACCTAACACGTACGCTTCCGTCCCGCACTGACTCATTCCTACCGGCTTCACCCCCCCGGGAGCCGGTACAGCGCCGCCACAGACTGATGAATACGGTGTACCGGAAGCACTGAGGTGAGGAGCCAAACACTTCCCTGCTGTCTCCCTGGCTCCGCCCACCGCACTTCTCGCAGCCACTGTGGATCCTGGACTCCGTCTACCAATCACAGGGTAGCATCAACTAGCGGCTGCTAGGTGAGAGGAGAACGCTGATTGGCTGAGGCGCGTCTTGTTGTGACAGCTCTCACCTTGGCATTGCCAGGACAGGTGGGAGAAGGCAGCGCTGGGATAGCCAATCGGCGGTACTGAAAAGACCAGAAGTGTGACAAGAGACACTTATAGTGAGCCTGTGCTGAAATATATAGTCTGCCATTTCCGACCTCCTTCTGATGCTGGTTTACTTTCCGTCTCTGATATACAGACCCAGAACTACCATGTAGCAAGTGAAGCAAGTCAGGTGACTGCATCTTTTTCTGGGTCAGGGACTCATGAGATATCATAATGTACCACTGCATCAGCATGACAGACCAGCAACTAGCAACTTCCGAATTAGAAGTCTTCAATGGAGGACTCCATTTTTTTTCCTCAGTACCGGTTTTCTTTAAATCTGTGCGGAGCCAAAGTCATGTGTTTATGTGTTTGTTTCTTCGTATCGATTGTAGAAGCCTAGTATGGACCAGTAAGAATATATTTGGTTAAATTCAGCAAAATTAAGCAAAATCATTTAGGCTTGATTCACACCAAATGCAATGGGGCTGCGTTGGCCGCTATTTCCGGCACAGCCCCACTGCTAGACAAGGCAATTTGCCTCATCAAGGATGGGCTCAGTTCACACAACCATATTATTATTATTGTTATTATACAGGACTTGTATAGCGCCAACAGTTTGCGCCGCGCTTTACAATATAATGAGGATATTACAATCACAAGACAAGAAGGTATTGGTGTGTGCTAAAAAACAATAATGCATGCAGTACTTTGTCAGCGCAGCAGGCCATGACAGGGTACAACTGCATTGCACCACGCCGTTCCTTGTGACATTTCAATAAAGCTCCAACTAAAAAAAAAGTAAACCGTGCGATGTGTCGGTATTGGCGCATCAGCACTGTGACTGATAACGCACACTGTTGGTTGTGTGTTGTAGCACAGTTGTTGGTGTGAATGCAGACAAAGTTTTACCAAAGGGCACAATTATATTTTAAACCCTAGCTCTCGATAAAAAACAATTCTTGCAGTGGGGCTTGGCCGTCGAAGGCCTGCTGATGGCATCATGTTTAAAGGAGAACTATGACCTGAGTGCTTTTCACTCACCTCATAGTTCTAGCCGACCTGTGACAATGATACTGTCACAGGTCGGCTCAGTAGATCGGGAGGTGAGCAAACATATACCGGCGCTCGCTCACCTCTCGATCCTGTCACTGCTCACTGTATGAACTGGAGTCAGGTATGTGGACCCTTTCCACTACACTGGCAGGGACACTCAGAGAAAAGGGTCCAAGCAGTGTAGGCTGACGACTCCCAGAGCTGGAGTACAAGCAGGGGAACAGAGCAGGAGAACTGAATGAGGTAGTGGAAGTCAGCTAAAGCTGGAAGTTCAAATACAAGGCAGGGTGCTGCAATGCTGAGTAGGTGGCATGGTATGCGGAGTAGGCGGCAGGGGTTCCCCAGGATGTGGAATCTAAGAGCCAGACGGTATTCACCAGAGCTCCTAATGGTGGAGATGGGCTTGGCTGCCTGCTGACCCCAGGTCACAATCCCTAGGTCCACCCAACTCACCTAACAGGTACAGGGTACAAATCAAAGGTTAGGGACAGGCTGAAGACTTCCAGGGACAAAGCGAAGCACAGGGTAGACTGTAGACAGAGATTTCCAAGGACAAAAGTGAAGCACAGGGCAGCCAGTAGACAGGGATTTCCAAGGACAAAAGTGAAGCACAGGGCAGCCAGTAGACAGGGATTTCCAAGGACAAAGGGGAAGTACAGGGCAGCCAGTAGACAGGGATTTCCAAGGACAAGCCAAAGGTTCAGTACACGGGAAAACTTCCAGGAATTCAGGGTAAATCACAAATGGGTGACTCAGCAACTAGCTTAGGAAAGCATTGCTAGGGCACCATGCCGTTCGCTGCCCTGAGTTTAAATAGAGACAGGAAGAGGGAGGATCCACAGGATTGGCCACAAGCAGACTGCACTGATTGGCTGAGAAGCTGCATAAGAAACAGCAGGAGAGGTCGGCCAACGCCTAAAGCTTGCAGACAGGTGCAAGAGTGAGTCAGGTTCAGAGCACATGTCTGGAGGACTACAAGCACCAGCACAGCCCTGCATGCCTGCAGAACCAGGGGTAAGAGATATTTATATACTTGTAGAACTACAATTAACAGCTCAGCTGCAAGTCTGCAGCTGAACTGTGACAGCCCCATTCATACCTCTAGGTTTAGGTGCGATTAGGGATTCCTGTATCGGGAATTTGCGGTTTTCCTCTAACAAGAATCCCTAATCTGGCGTTTACAAGCGGCAACTGTCACCCTTCAAGTTAATGATCAGGTGACAGCTGCTGCATGTAAACGCCGGAACACCGCATGTAATGGTATGTGATATAATTACATGTAGTTAGGAATCAATCAATCTCTGTGGATGCACGTTTAATGCGTCCAGGGAGAGTGACTGTTTTCTAACTGCATATCACATACCATTACATGCTGTCTGCAGGTGTTTACATGCAGCGGCTGTCACCTGATCATTTTCTTGAACGTGTGACAGCTGCCGCTTGTAAACGCCACATTTGGGATTCCTGCTGAAAGAAAACGCAAATTCCTGACACAGGAATTCCTAAACTTTGCACTAAAACTTACAGGTATGAATGGGGCCGTATTGAGTGTGTATTTCTGGCTGTGTCTGTCTAGTGCGTATTTCTGTGTATTTCTTTAATCACCACAGATGAGACTTTTTATACTGATTAGCACTTACAGAATAACATACAACTTAATACCTCCGCTGATCTCTTGCCCACCATATTATGGGAAGCCCACAAATCGGTGATTTAAGGGGGCTGCGTGCAGTTATCTTCACATTATAAAAAAACAGAAAATGCCTTGACTGCAGGCCCTGGAACAGGCTTACATACTCCACTACCTTTCAACAACAACCGTCCACTGTGTTAAAGGCAATAAGCCTGACACGACACAGTACTGGCGCTCCAGCTGCGTGGTTGGACTACAATCACAAACCCATCCATCTGAGGATATCTAAGGATACATATACTAGTAACCTACTTAAAGTCCTCCAGAAATTTTGTAAGCATCTTCTATCCTATATTCCGCCTCAAACAAATTTTCAGCCTCACAGGCCACTAAGCTTTTTGCAAGTATCACGCTTCCCTCCTTATCCGAGGACCACAAGTTTAAACTTGACCGCCCTGTTTCCTCTGAGGAGGTATTGCAGGCAATTCAATTATGGAAACCTCGCTAGCGGCCAGTTTACGAATGTCTCTGAGCCACCTACTATAACAGACCTCCTGGTGCCAACCTTAACCAAATCGTTCAATATTCTCCTGCAACATTAATCGTTTTGCACAGAAACCCTTATGGAGGTACTTGCTATGATCCCAAAACTTGGCACAGATAATACCTCCTGGTCTAACTATAGGCCTATATCCCTATTTAATTTGGATTTAAAATTATTAGTTAAAATACTAACAGGGTTATTCACTAAAGGGAGAAGAGTGTGAAGAAGGCAGGAGAAGTGAACAATCTAGGACAACATAGCTGAACTGGAAAGTGAGCTGAATTGGAGACATTTTCCAAATCAGCTATGTTGTCCTAGATTGTTCACTTCGGCCTTCTCCACACCCTTCACCCTTTTGTACATAACCCTGTATGTATACGCCTAAATCCCATAATAGGCAACTGTACATAAAGATTAGGTATGGTTTATTCTACATTGCCAGGTGAGTGACAACCCACATAAAATTTCCCTTTTGCTTCACGTAATTCAAAAACGATGTATTCCTGCATATCTCCTTTCTATTGATATACGGAAGGCCTTCGACTGTCTCTTGGCAGTACGTTTCACATCGTTAAGCGCTGGGTGTTTGGCCCAAATGTCTTGTGCCGAGTATCTTCCTTATATTCCACCCCCTTGGCCTATGTAAAATACACCGGATAAAAATAAGAGACATTTCCCATAGCAAGAGGTCCGAGACAAGGTTGCCCACTGTCTCCCTTTCTATTTTGCCCTGACAATCGAACAGTTGGCTCAGCTAATTAGAACAATCCCATCAAGCTACTTTCCCATTCCTTTGGTACCACATACCCTTACATATCTGTGTGTTAATCTTACGATACCCTTTATGAAGCCAAATAGTTGGGAATGCTAAAGTCGCTTACTGAACTTCTCACAGGATGGTCCTCTCTACCAGTTTCTTGGTGTGGGAGAATTACTGTGCAGTGGCGTAACCAGAGTTCTGGGCGCCCGGGGCAGAATTTTTTTTTCGCCCCATCACTTTCAGCGTTTAGCCGAAAGTGCCTTTTTCGGCCGGCGCCCCCCCTTCACTTTTCGCCCGGGGCCCGCGCCCCTGCTGCCCCCCCGGTTGTTACGCCACTGTTACTGTGATCAAGATGTTGCTGCTTCGAAGATCCTATATCTATTCAGGACTCGAGTCAAACCTTTTCGAGTCCCCTATTACTATTTATGAGTACTACAAGCTAGGGTACATAACTTTGTTTGGGGCTCCCTCAGGCCACCAATTCCTAAATCTACCCTTTATCAACACAAATTATATGGGTTTGGGACTGCCCAATTTTTCCGAGTACTATCAGGCTTCTGAAATCGCCCAGTTAACTAAGTGCCATGTAACCCAGGAATCTCTGTTGTGGGTTGGCATAGAAGCTGTTGAATGTGACCCAGTAGCTATTGACAATCTCCTTTGGTTATCTCCGCCTTTACGACCATGCAACCTGAACCCATCACAATATTCTCTCTTGGGGTATGGGACTTAATGAAACAAACCTCTGGTCTTATCTCTCCTCACACTCCTCTTCTATCCTTCCTCTGGAATCCCAAATTGTATCTGGGCTTTGTTTCACTTATTTCTTTTCAGAACTGAGAAAAATTG